AATGTGACCTCAAACTAAAAACTTGGGTAGTTTCAGGAAGCTAGACATGCTGTGCACACTGTAACTCTAGCTCATGGAAGTCTGAGGCCTGAATTTAGGAAACCTATCTCAAAATGAAAACAAGCAGGGGATCTGAGGAAATAGCTCAGTCAGTAAAGTTTCTGCCACTCAAATATGAGGACCTGGGTTCAGATCCCCAGGACCCTTATTTAAAAATAAAGTGTGTGTGTGTGTGTGTGTGTGTGTGTGTGTGTGTGTGTGTGTGTGTGTATGTGTTAGGAATTTAGCAGTCACTGAATCGGGGTAGATATTAGAATGAACAGCTGTTTTTTTTTTTTTTTAAGAAGTATTTTGACCTTGAAGAATCCTTGTGGAAAACAGTAATTGTTTTCCATGATTGGTAAAATTGTTATGCTGAAGGGTCGTTGTAGCCATCCCATGACTTTGGTCAAAAGAAGCCTCAGACATACCTGAGGCTCTTGTATTACTGTGCATTGCAAAAGATACATAATAAAGGACCAGAGTCATGGGGGCCTGTGATGCTCTCTCTTAGTTTAGTAAGACATGTATATTAAATTAGGGACCTTGGTGTGAATAAATACTTTGTGTAACAATCAGTAAATATGTCTTTGTATGGCTGTTCTGGGTTCAGTCCATCAGAAAGTTGGCTCTTTCTGCTGCCACAAAGTCCTTAAAATTTCGTCTGGGAGTGCCTTATTTCTTCAGCCGACCAGCACTGCACAGTGTACCCCAACATTCATGCACGCGTGGGTGGGTGCGTGCGTGAGTGCATGTGTGTGTGGTGCTGGGGCTGGAAAGATGGCTTAGTGGTTAAGAGCATGTGTTCCTTTCATAGAGGACATGAGTTTAGTTCCCAGCACCCACACTGTGTATCTCAACCATGTTACTCCAGTTCCAGAGGATCTAACAGTTTTCTGGCCTCAGCAGGCACCAAGCACACTTGTGATACACATCCACATAGACGAAACATCCATACACATAAAATTTTAAAAAGCCTTTTTAAAAACTTAAAAATGTGTTTGGTGAGGCCTGGGGAGATGGCTCAGCAGTTAAGAGACAGTACTGTTCCTCCAGAGGACCCAGGTTGATTCCCAGCACCCACACCAGGAGGCTTACAACTGCCTGTAATATCAGCTCCAGGGGATCTCACTGCTTCCTCTACTCAAGGGCACTGGGCTCACATGTACAGCCGCCTCCCACACACATACTTAGAATAGAAATAATCTTTCTGTAAAATGTGTGCTGCAGTGATGTACAGGCGGACTAGTGCTCTAGGGGCTGACAGGCAGACCCCTGAAGCTCACTAGCCAGCCAGCTTACATAAGTCAGCGAGCTTCAAGATCAGTGAGACATTGCCTCAGAAACCTAAGAGTTCTGAAGAAACCAAGGAAGACACCAACATCCACCTTTGCCCTCACATGCACTCACCCAGACATATACACCCCAGGAAAAGAAACAGAAATGATCTCAACTAAACAGTAGGAAGGTGGGAGACAGGAAAGGCCACACCATTTCCAAATTTTTTGTTGAAAAGTATTTCTAGGAAAAGGAAGCATTTCTTCTCATACTCCTTTAAATTTATTTCCATAGTGTCTAAAAATGAACCAGACCTGCTGAATCTGAAAATGTAGTCCCAGATAAAAATCTGCCATGAACTGCTGTGGGATGTTCTGTATGGCAAATGTGTTGCTCTGATTGGTTGGTAAATAAATCACTGATTGGCCAGTAGTCAGGCAGGAGGAAGTATAGGCGGGACAAGGAGGAGAATAAAGCTGGGAAGTGAAAGGCCGAGTCACTGCCAGCCGCCATGATGACAAACTGCATGTGAAGATGCCGGTAAGCCACGAGCCATGTGGCAAGGTATAGATTTATAGAAATGGATTAATTTAAGATGTAAGAACAGTTAGTAAGAAGCCTGCCACGGCCATACAGTTTGTAACCAATATAAGTCTCTGTGTTTACTTGGTCGGGTCTGAGCGGCTGTGGGACTGGCAGGTGAGAGATTTGTCCTGACTGTGGGCCAGGCAGGAAAACTCTAGCTACACTGAACCCTACATATCTACTTACAACAATTTTCAGAGAATGTTAGGGAAGGAGGCATCGTGGCTGACAGGAAGGGCAGCTACACTCTAGAACCCTTCAACAGGACAGGTCGGGGCTCCTGGCAGACGGCAGTCTTTCCCATCTCTTACCACCATGGTGTGTATGTGCCTGATAAAGCACCAAGCCAACAGACCTCGGAAATAAAAATCTTAATAAAGGAAGAAAAGGACATGACTCTTCCTGATTTATTCTAAAGACCCATTCGAACAGAACAGAAGAAAGTCCTCCGCGAGCAGGGATGACGAAAGTAAACAGACCTGGAATACGGGCACAAGGGCAACTACAGCCCCTGGGAGTACTCACACCAGCACTTCCTGTCAGGGAACTACAGCCCCTGGGAGTACTCACCCCAGCACTTCCTGTCAGGGAACTACAGCCCCTGGGAGTACTCACACCAGCACTTCCTGTCAGGGAACAACAGCCCCTGGGAGTACTCACACCAGCACTTCCTGTCAGGGAACTACAGCCCCTGGGAGTACTCACACCAGCACTTCCTGTCAGGGAACTACAGCCCCTGGGAGTACTCACACCAGCACTTCCTGTCAGGGAACTACAGCCCCTGGGAGCACTCACACCAGCACTTCCTGTCAGGGAACTACAGCTTTGTGAGCACGCTACCCACATGGCCCCGCAGAGGTCAATAAGACCCTCTGCCTAAAAAGCCTGGTGTTTCAGAATAAAACATTGGTTTTCATCCTTAACTAGGAAAGCAATGAACTAGAAAAATCTCAAAAACTTAACAATATAGAAACATTTTTCCTAAATAAGTTTGTTTTTTGTTTGTTTTTTTTTTTTCTTTAAGACAGGGTTTCTCTACTTGGCTGTCCTGGAACTCACTCTGTATACCAGGCTGGCCTTGAACTCACAGAGTTCCACCTGCTTCTGCCTCTTGAGTGCTGGGATTAAAAGCATGCATCACTCACAGCTTAGTTTATATATATATATATATATATAAATATATATATATATATTTATATATATATATATATATTTTTATTTTTTTTTTTGAGGGAGAAGAAAAAGGCTTAATAAAATGAAACCAGAAGCCTGGCAAAGGGTTGGGGATATAATACAGCTCAGTAGCAGAGGCCTTGACTAGCATTCACAAGATGCCAGGTTTGCTCCCCAGAGCATAACCAAGAATAAATAAAATCAACTAGTAATCAAAACTCATACTAGCTTTAAACACTTCTTCCTCTACGTTTTTTGGGGTAGGGGGTGGGGGTAGTGAAACAGGGCCTACTATGTACCTCTGGCTGCCCTGGCACTCACTATGTAGACCAGGCTGGCCTCACACTCAGAGATCCACCTGCCTCTATCTCCCAAGTGTGGGAATTAAAAAAGTGTGCATCACTTTTTATGTGCACCAGTCCTGGCAAAACATTATTTTATGCATGTGCTTGCATGAATTCAGGTGCACCATGTGTGCACAGAAACCAGAAGGAATCAGATTCCCTGGATATCCCAGATAGTGCTGGGAACCAAACCTGGGTCTTCTCCAAGCACAGTCAGAGCTCCTACCTGACAGACCATCTCGAGAGCCTGAAGGAAAAACCATTGAGGGACCTAACTAACTGACAGCACAGAGATCAAAGGACCTCAGTCCACAGCCGGGTCAGGCACCTATCCACTGCAGCAGGGTTTTCTCTTCGGCCTTCTCTCAAAGGACTCAGGTTCGCATGCTCTGTGGAGTAACTAAGCAGAAAGGGGGCACAGGAAGTGGTGTGGAACTACTTCACCATTCATCAAGATAAGAACACCTGTACTGCTTTTCTAAGAGACATCGACACTAATACAGCCCTCCAACTCTTGTCTAGCTGTTACTACCAAAAAAAATGGACAAACTGGTCAAATACTACCTACAGCTGGCACAGACTAAATCACTGTGGGTGGGGGTGGGGGGCATTACACAACACTTCCCAGCAGCACAGCCACGCTCAGGGTATTTGACTGCCAAGCCACTTGGGCCCCTCCTCCCCAGCTAGACAGCCTGGCTCCTTTGCATTCCCCTCAGGAGATAGGGTGGAAGTACATAGCTCCACTTTGTAAGGCATAGAGGGCAGCTGAAAGTCCTGCTTGGCCTCTCTGGGCAACCACAGGCGCCAATAAATCAGCCACAGGCGATTCTCTCATCCCCTTCCCGGCTTGAAGTGGGAGCAAGACATAATGGACAGGAGCACTGACTAGACTTGGGAGATAAGTGATCTCGGCTTCCATTCCTCTGTGAGCGACTGTCACCACAGCCAGGTATCTCTCTCGGCTTCACTCCTGCAGGCTTAGAACCTATTTGTAGCATGGAGACCAGGTTACCTTTTTAAGGGAATTCACCTGTGAAAACAGCTGGCAAGAGGGCAGCACATAAAACTAAACACACATCGACAAAAACCCGAGTGGAAACTCTTTATAGCTTAAAAAAAAAAAAAAAAAAAGGCACAGCGGTGGGCACAAATGTCTAGTGTGTGTGAGAGTGTATGTGTGTGGGGAGCTCTTCTTGCTGGCCACCCCCATCCCTGATGTTTCGCAGCTTCCCAACTGCATCCCAGCCATCTGAACTATTTCATGTCTATCCCACTCTCTGGCAGCGGCTGTTTACTCTTCACTAAAACATACCCAGGTTGTTAAGGCTGATGCCTAAGCCGAAAGAAGAAACAGTGGCCAGACAAGGTGGCGTAAGCCTGTAGTCCCTGAACCCAGGAACCTGATGTAAGATCGATCCCTAATTCTACGATAGCCTGGACTAAACTTAGAGCAAGACTCTTGTCTCAAAAAAAACCAAGCGTCAATGCCTAGCCCTGTGAGTATAAGGTTGACTTGGAGTTGGGGGTGTGGGAAAGGAAATGAGCTTTCGGCTCCAAGATATGCTGTGCACAACTCACCCAGAAAGAGTGCCGTGCCTACGACTCTCTAGAGTCATCCCAAGGGCCAGGCCTAACTTCTCACTCAACCTGAGAAGTCCTGCAAGCCAAGTGTCATCCCGTCTGGTGGATACATGGTCCGGAGCAGGCTGAACTGACACGGCAGATCTGGTACAAATTCAGTGGCAAAAAAGTGTCTGCAGCTCTAAACCTAACCAGGAAAGGTGCGGGATCTTCATCAAGCAACACTACGCTCTTTAGGTCCGGTGTCTTCTGTGAAATGAATGAGAGATGAACTCGATTTTACCCAAGGTCCTTCTCAGTTCTGAAAAACCCAGATTCCGAGATGTACTTTAATCCTGTCAACCAATAGCTCTGCAGCTTTTAAAGGACTTGCTCGAGGCTCTAGAGGAAGAACGGCAAGTTTTAATCCCTGAGAGGGATATGGGAGTTAATTTATAAAACACAACTCCAGCTGCTATCAGGTTCCAGGTACCGCGCCGTGCGTTTCCTAAGCAACTGATAACGGCTTGATATCTCCAAATGAGTGCTAGGGAGACAGACGGTGATGAGATGGGGGCGGACTTCAAAAAGAAAAACCATTTGGCTGTGATAAAACACGTGGGGGAAAATGAATTATTAGGGTTGGGGGGGGGTCTACCTGCCTTAGGAACTAGGTACTCACACACTGGATGGGGGAGGGGACAGTGATGGTAGCGCCGCCTGATCTGGACACCCGCCCACTAGCTAGAGCCGCAGGCCTGGCGCGGTCGCCCGGAGCCAGCAGCCACCGACCGACTGAGACTTCTGCGCCCGATCGGGAGCCCGGCCCGCGGCGGGATGGGCTCCAAGGCTGTGCAGGGCCCGCGCCCGCGCGCGCGCTCGCGCCATCCCGCCTGCGTTAGGAGGCCCCGGCGGCCCACGGCCAAGGGCGGGCGGCTCCAGGCGCCGCGCGCCCCAGCACTCGCCCGCCGTTGCTCATTTCCTTCCAGGGCCCCGACTGACAGCTCCAACGGACCAAAAACACCCCCTCTCCCCGGCTACTTGCATCTGTCCCGCGACGGGTGCAGCTGCAGCCGCCGCCCCGGGGCGGCTCGCGGCGGGAGGGACTGAGCCCGGAGCAGCCCACGGGGGGGGGGGGGGGGGGGAAGGGCCGCGTTGCTTACCCAGACTCCGCCGCGGCGGACGGGCTGGCGGGCTGGCGGGCGGGCGGGCCGGCTTCTCCGTGCGGGAGGGGCGGGCTCCCGCGCGGCGCACGGCACGCGGCAGCGCCCGCTCACGCACCCGGCGGGCTGCTCTCGCGCGGCTTCCCGCGCCGGGCCCACGTGACCCGGCTGCTGGGGTGCCAGCGGCACCCGGGCGGGTTGTGCCCGCCTGCGTGCGTGCCTGCGTGCGTGCCTGCGTACGTGCGCGCTTGCCTGCCTGCCTGCCTGCCTGCCTGCTTGCCGGAGTGGCCAGGCGGGGGTCGGCCGGCGTTCCGGGCGCCTCCGCCAAGGTCCCCAAGTCGTGACTGGAGGCGGAAGTGTGGGGACAAGCCTGAGCGTCACAGGCTCCCCACACACCTCCGCGTGACCCGGGACTTTCCCCCCGCGTGTGCAAAAAAAAAAAAAAAAAGAAAGAAAGGAAAAAAAGCACGGGTGCCCCCCTCGGCCCTGGGTGGGGACGGGCAAGGATGCACCCGCGCATGGAGCGGGAGCGGGGTGAGGGCGCGGGGCAGGCGGTGGCACGCGGCGGGAGCCAGGGAAGGAGGCGGGCCGGGCGGGGCATGGCGGGGGAAGTGACTCAGGCCAGAGGCCGACGGGCCCGCGCGAGGAGGGGTGGAGGGGGCGCGGGGAACGGGCGACCCCGAGCGGACAAGCTTCGGGCGGGACGGGACGAGGGTGTCAGCGCTCCCTGAGCGTCCAGGGTGGAGCGCGGGGGCGGGTCCAACTGCGGGGCCCTGCGGGGCAGGGGTCTGAAGATCCGGGCAGAGGGCGAGCAGCATCCAGCCCCCCACCAGTGGCGTCCAGCTGTGCAAACAGGAGGAGGGCCAAACCGACCCCGGGGGAGAGGGGCGACAGTGCTGCTCAAGCCGCCGCCCGGGCGCCCGCGCTGCGGGCAGTGCCAACCTCCTCGGCCCGACGCAGAAACTTGTTGCAACCAACAGGCGACCGCGGGTGCCCCTAGCCGCCAGCGGCGGAGTGGGTGGGCGGGCGAGAGGGAGGGGAAGGCTGGCGGACGCCGCGGCGAACTGGTGGGCAGACCCGGAGTCGCCGCGTAAGCGGGGCCGGCTCAGTGCGGTGCGGCAGGCGCGGCTGTGCGGCAGCGGAAGTCCTTTGTTGCAGCGCAGTCCCTGGCAGAGCCCGAGTGTCTCGGCGCAGCCCAGCCGAGCGCCGCGCGCCGTCAACTGCAGCCCCGCGGCCCCGCTGCCTCCGCCCGCCGGCCCCGCGGCCCCGCTGCCCTAAACTCCCGAAAACCTCCGAAGCCGCGCGTCCCGCCGCGCCCGGTGAGTTATCTGCCAGTCGTCGGGGCTATTTGCGCAACTTTGACCGGGGCCGGGCCACGGGCCTGGCGGAGTGCGTGGCCGCCGCCGCGGCACCGCCGCCGACCGGTGCGGGGAGCCGGAGCGCGGAGGGCGCGCGGCGAGGAGCCGGTGGCGGGGGGACTGCTGAGCCGCCTGCTCGGTGCCGGCGATCAGTCCGGTGCGCGCGGCCTCCCCGGGTCCGGGACGGATTCCCCCTCTCCAGACGACTTCCCAAATTACTTCTTTTCCCTTTATTTTATTTTCTGGTGGGGGGAGGGGGGAGGGGAGGCGGGAGGCCGCGCTTGATTGACGGGCCCGGAGCGCGCTTCGCTAACTTCCAGCTGCGGCTGGGCGGCCGGTGGGAGGGGAGCGTCCCGGAGCCGGAGGCCGCAGACTTGGGCGCGCTCCGAGGGAGGAGGCGGCTGGGCCGCGCGGATTCCTGCTTCGCTCTTTCCCACCCCCTCTCATCAGCACACACGCTTTTTGTTCGGGTCAAAAGTGGTAGGTCTCGGGCGTTGGGCGATTTTTCTGTGTACGGGATTGGTTTTTCTCCCCACCCCGCACTCCCCCGAGTCCCGAGAAGAAAGTGCTTTTTGCCTCCAGTGGTGGGCGCTTCCAAGTAGAAGTTCTGGGAGAGGCGGTGAGCGAGTTGGGTGGCGATCGAGAGTCCCTGCGGCTGAAGCGTGCAGGCGTGGGTCTGAGCTCAGCCGCCGCTCCCAGGCTGCCTTTTTCCACCTGAGCCACCCGTCCACGTGATCTGAGGGGTTGACAAGACATTTTCCAACTCGGACGGGTCAGGAACAGGTTAATGAAAGTCCTTGTTTTCGGGGACTGGGGTGTTTTGTGTGTGTGTGATCGTGTTCCGGAATCGAGTGTGGCTGTGAAGGTACACGTAGATTCTCCACGGATCAGAATGTATTTCCGTACAGTATGTACCGCTGCGGCAACATCTTTCCCTTTGACACTGGAATCCACAAAGCGTTCCGAGCAATTTTTTTTTTTCTCTTTCTTTCCTGAGACAAGGTTTGGTTTGGCAAGGTAGCCCCAGGATCGCTTGGATGTAATTCTCCTGCCTTAGGGAATCCTAAATTCTAGGGAGATAGGCATGAGCCACCAAGCCTGGTTTTGTGTTCTGAAGACCACTTAGAATGAATTTCTTGAGCTGAAGTTCGAGGCACCCTGAAGCAGATTTGGGGAAGCCATGTAGTTCTTATGGTAACTTTAAAGCAATCATGGTTTTAAAAAGTGTAAAATAGATTCTCTGGAACTTGGTCACCTCAAGTGGATGTGATCTGGAGAAATGGAGAAGGTGGAGGTGCAGGAGTCTGAGGCCTGAATGATGGCTGGTCGGTTGCCCAGAAGTGTAAAACTTCCCTTTTAATCACTTGCTGTTATCTCCTGAAGTCTCAGTAATACTGAGTGGCATTAGGAGCTGCGTGCGGTTCCTTCCTCCTAAAGAAATAGGTGGAACTAAAGCAGAAACTAAGTAGAAATTCTCCAGCAGTGTTGGTTACAGCAACCCACTTTAACAACAGCATATCTCCATTGACACCAGAGTTTTACAGGGTGTGGTTGTGCCGGCCTATAATCCCAGCACTTCAGAGGCTGGATCAGGAGTTGGAGGCTAATCGGGACCTGGTCTGCAAAGCAAGACCCTTTTTTCAAAAATCAAAAGTCGGGGCTACAGAGAGATGGCTGGGTGGTTAAGGGCACTTGCTTTTCTTGCAGAGGAACTGAATTTGGCGCCCAGCACCCATATCAGGCAGCCCACAACTGCCTGTAACTCCAGTTTCAGGGAACTCATGTGCACATACCCCTCCCCCCACATAAACACGTAATTAGAAATTAAAAAAAAAAAAAACCATCCAGAGTCTCAGTTTTCATGATTCTTAATTCCTCCAATTTCTAACATCATGCCTACTGTTTTGAACATGCAGGTGGTGGGTGCATCATTGTCAGAAAAAGAGACCCATTTTTAACCAGGGCATAAGCACAGCTTCTTGACCGTGTGTGTGTGTGTGTGTGTGTGTGTGTGTGTGTGTGTGTGTGTGTGTGTGTGTGTGTGTGTATGAGAGAGAGAGAGAGAGAGAGAGAGAGAGAGAGAGAGAGAGAGAGAGAGAGAGAGACTGAGACTCAGAGATCTGCCTGCCTCTGCCTCTTGAGTGCTAGAATTAATGGCAAGCATCACCATGCCGGCTCTTTTTTTTGTTTTGTTTTGTTTTGAAAGCTAGACTCCCGCTTTCTGGTCCAGGGCTGGCCTTAGCTTTCTACCCTCCTGCTCCAACCTCTCAACCCGTGTTGGGATTCCAGGCCTGTGACACCACACCGGGTTTTTGACCTTGTGGGTTTTGTTTGTTTGTTTGTTCGTTCTCTGAAACAGGATCTGACCATGTAGCACGGGCTGACCTAGAACTCTAGACCAGGCTGGCCTCGAACCCTTAGAGGTGTGCCCACCTCTGTCTCTACAGTGCTAGGATTAAAGGTTTGTGCTGCCACGCCTGCTCATGACCTTGTGTTTTGATTTCATGGTAGCTGGGAAGTGTTTGTACCGAACCTTCTGCTTCCTCATTCCCCACGTCTGTCGGTGTCTGGTACAACCAGGGCCCCTTTTCAAAGTGTCCAGTGTGCCTTGCAACACCATTTTTTATTTTTCTAACATCCAGGAAAAAAATGCTGCTGTCATTTTTTGGGGGGAGTTCTTCTCTAGCCAGGACAAACTATATATCTTTGCCTAAAGGAGTGTGTGTGAGGCATTTGTGATAGAAATGCTAAAAAAATATATATATATATATATATATTTTTAGGCTGCAATCTTTTGCCTTGGGGAGTGAATATATGAAACATCTGCTTCAGAGTTCACTTCGGTCTCTATAGTATTTTTGTGATAATTTCTTGTGGTAGTGTCTCTGGTAATAAAATAGGAAAAATGCTTTGCTATTCATTCATATGTTCTTTGTGAGCCTAATTTCCTTTTCTTTCTTCTTTTTTATTTAAATTTTTTTATTTTTTATTTTATTTTATTTTATTTTATTTTATTTTATTTTTTTGACACAGGGTTTCTCTTTTCTCTGTGTAGCCCTGGCCGTCCTGGAACTCAGCTCTGTAAACTAAACTCAGAGATTTCACCTGCCTCTGTTCCCTGAGTGGTGGGTGGCATGCCATTTCAATGATAAAAATGCAACCTATACTAAAGTACATACAATATAAATCTGAAAAGTTATTCTGACTCCCACTCCCCCAGAGGTAATCACTGTGAACAATCAATTCCTCATTTTCAAAATGGGAAGGCAGCACCTGACCATCTTGCTGCTGTGTGAGCCTCACTCTGGCCTGCTCCCGCTCATACCCTTGGGTTCTCTTTTCATAACTCAGATAGGTGAGAACTGCCAGGTGCAGGGAAAGCGGGGAGGGTTTTGCATTGAGCTGATAGGCGTGTAAGTTTTTGGTCTAGTTCAGCCCTCCTGAAGTTTACCTTGGTGGGCTTCTCATCCTTTGCAAATGTTGCAGTCCGTTATCTGACAGATTAATGCAGGCTAAACTCATTAAAACAAGCCCTTCAAAAAAACAAACAAAAAACAAGCCCTTCATGTGTAGAGAGCTTGCTAGCTTACCATTGGGAAGGAGTGGGTAGACTTGCCTCTAAAACCACTGCCAAGATGTCCCTGTGCCTTTTTGTGTGGTGTGGGTTCCTCTTGATCAGCATCCAAAGCAGCCAGGGAAACATGATAGGAAGGAAAGCAGAAGGGAGGGGCCATTAATGACCGTCTTGTTTTAAGTTAGGGCATGGGGAGGGCTACCAGTGGGGGGCGGGGGGGGGGGGGGGATGCAAGGACTCTGGCCTGAACTTTGCTCCCATTTGGCATCTCATCTATTTAAGGTAGGTTTCTAAGTATTCTGATATTTTGTCCTGTGTAGTCATTATGAAGTTCCTTAGCCTAGTGTATTCAAGAAGGATGAGCTGTGAAGTTAATTTTCTAATGAAGCCCCAAAACAATACATACAAATTGAATCACGGTAGTCACTTGAGGGTACTGAGGACATGCTCCCCCCCCCCCCCCCCCCCCCCCCCCCGACAGGGTTTCTCTGTGTAGCTTTGCGCCTTTCCTTGATCTCGCTCTGTAGACCAGGCTGGCCTCGAACTCACAAAGATCCGCCTGCCTCTGCCTCCCCAGTGCTGGGATTAAAGGCGTGCGCCACCACCGCCCGGCGAGGACATGCTTTTTTAAAACACTGCTATGTGAATATAAATTGTTCTCAATCATATTTGAGGGCTGGAGGTATAACTCAGTGGTAAGAGTGCTTGCCTGTCATGCCTGAGGTCCTAGGTTTCAACCCTCAGCGCTGCAAAATATAATAATGAGTATTAAAAATTAAAGAATAGCGGAGTGCAGGCTGCATGTCTTTAATTCTAACACTCAGAAGGCAGAGGCAAGTGGGCTTCCCTTAGGTTCAAGGCCAGTCTGACATACACAGTTCCGGGCCGGCCAAGGCTGCGTAGTGAGACCCTGTCCCCCCCAAAAAAAACACAAAATATTAAATAATAAATTACTAATTATTATTTCCTTTTAGTTTTCTGTGTGAGATGCATGTTGTCCTTTTTAGAGCTAACTGAAGAGCTCCTTCCCACTTGAAATTGCCAGCAGTGAGGGGTGGGGGTGGTCAGCAGATGGAGGAGGAGATAGGGGAAGGGGGTGCTTTCTGCCTGCCTGCAAGATAAGACAGTGCAAGAATGATGGGAGCTTTTACAGTGACGGAAAGTGTGACTGTGGGAGGCTTAGAATGTTCCAGAGGGGCGCTTCACTTACTTAATAATCATACCCAGAAAGTGTTGTCTGCAACACAAAAACAGAAACGCTGCGTTTTGAATCAAGAGTTAGGGTTTCAGCCCCAGCTTCTGTTTACGGGATGAGTAGTCAACTACCTCACCTGTTTTCTTCATTCACAGAATAAGGGTAATTTGAAACCTGTCTCAGGGTGCTGTGAGCATCAGTTGGCTAATGTATGGAAAAGGCCCTGTAAATTGCCAACAACTCTATAAAAGTTCTGGTGACGATATCAGCTGAATGTCAGGAAACTACCAGAAGCCAGATGTTGTGATCACGACTGAGATGACACCTTGGTCTCCAGTGCTGGGCTTTTGCAGTACAGAAGAGAGATGCCTGCCTCGTCGTGGGTCAGAAAGGGTTCCCCAAAGGGGTGTGTGTGTGTGTGTGTGTGTGTGTGTGTATAATAAGGAAAGCTTTTACTTTTCGAGTGTTTGGGGTTGGGGAAAATCTTAAGAGATTGAAGGTTAAAGAATGGGATTGTGCTTAGAATAGATACTTTTTATTGGTTTTATTTCATCTATTTTAATTAGATAAAAATTTGGAGTTTTGCCAGGTGGGGTGGTAGCACACACCTTTAATTCCAGCACTCAGGAGGCAGAAGCAGGCAGATCTCTGGAGGACAGCCTGATCTAATAGATAGTCCCTGTCTCCAAGAAAAAAAAAAATTAGAGTTTACACGATTTTGGTTAGAACTAAACAGAACCGGCTTGAGCTGCAGAACTGGAAGCAGTACACTTTATAAGAAGGAAACTGACTGATCTCTGTGGGAAGAGCTGCCTGCCTGCAAGATACTCAGCAGCACTTACTGAATAAAGTTCTCAAATGAAGAGTAGGCCAATGGCCTGTGTCGAGCTGCTCACAATTACAGCAGACAGTGTGAGTGCACAGAGGGAATACTTTGGAATAACTAGAGTCCTGCGCCCCAAACCCTAACAACACAAATGCCATGTGCCAAGGGGGACCAGCTTTAGATCAGAGGCACCTACAGTGCCCTCTGGTGTTCAGGAGAAGGCTATACTGCCTCTAGGATAGGGGTTAAAAATGGAGGCATAGAGTACCTTTCCTCTTGTACTGGAGAGAAAAGAGCGTTCAAAAGTCCCCATTTTTCCTCCAGTGTGGATGAATTCCTTGTCTGGGATCCAGTTGGAACTGCAGCAGTGGTTCATTCATGTTACTTGTTGTAACATTTATTATTCATTGTCCTGTCAAGAAGTCAAAGAAGGCAGTTTGCTTGCCTGCTGTCATAGTACATAGGATCTCAAAGAATTAAAGTATGTAGCTTGTTTCCCTGAGTTTTTGTCTAGTCTCACAACCTATGGGGTTAAAATGGTGGACAGCCGATCAGCATACCTTTTAGAAGTGACAGCTGTTGGCTTGACCAGGCAACAGAAACACCAACCAACAAACAAGCTACAGTCTACCACAGAAGAGTGGCAGCGTGAGGCTGTCCGGAGTGCAGACGGTTCCTGTATTTCGGCAGTGCTTAGTGGAGAGAAGTCCTGGGAGCTGTTAGCACTGGGAAGAGCCTAGGCAGGAGGCTGGAGACCCTGACAGCCACTGAGACCCCATGTGCTGAGCATATGACTTAACCCCTGACACTTCTCATCTGCAGAACAGTAAGTTGAACTTGATTTTTCATGGGATTTTATAAATCGTGTTCAGTGTGATGACATTAACTTTAAGTACTGGATTGTGGGCTGGAGAGATGGCTTAGCAGTTATGAGCACTGGCTGCTCTTCCAGAAGTCCTGAGTTCAATTCCCAGCAACCACATGGTGGCTCACAACCATCTGTAATGAGGTCTGGTGCCCTCTTCTGGCCTGCAGGCAGAATGCTGTACACATAGTAAGTAAATAAATCTTAAAAAACAAAACAAAAGCAAAAAAAAAAAAAAAAAAAAAACCAGGATTGCCCAAAATATTGTCATACCTAGTTTCTACAAGAACCCTTTGCAGGGTGTGACTGTCCTGCTTTGACGGTTGAGAAGGAGGGTACAAGGGATGGAAAGGTTTCCAGGCAGCTACCAAGCGGGTAGAACTGGTACCCATATCTAGCAGTGCCTGTTTCCAGAACTTTTTTTTTTTCTCCCGTAACAAACATGTGCTAAGTGCCAGCCATGTGGGAAGACTGTGCTGGGCACAAGAACACTAAGGCCTTTAAGTGTGTCCCTGTCCCTGAGGGCTCAGCATAGTGGGCATCACTGTGCTATAGTGCGGCTCACTTAGATCAGTGAGTGCTCATGACAGGGGCAGTACTTCAGCACTGTTCGGATTCACACGGGCACGTGATGGCTTTCACAGACTGTTGGGTGTGAGCAGCAAACTGAGCCTCCATTTATAGCATTGTTTCTATGGGAATGTGTGTTTCAGGTTCCAAATAACTTAAAAATACGTTTTGGAACATTATCCCATTATAAATTCAGAACTTCCTGTACTAAGTACTGAATTTAATAGCTAGCCAGAATGCCTGGTTTAAATAGTGAATTTTTTTTTTTTCTGCATTTTCTCTTATATGGCTCAAAGTAAAACCCTTTTATCTTTAGGAATCTCTACAACTGGTTAAACAGAGAACCTAGAAATATTTGTTCCTTTTAGAAATTGGACTGTGTACTCTGGAAAACGGCATGTGAGGGATTGTGTGTGTGTGTGTGTGTGTGTGTGTGTGTGTGTGGCTGTCTTTCCTGTCTCTGTATACCCCTAGCTGTGTGTGGAACTACTGGAATTAAAGATGTGTGCCATCCCTGCTTTATGTGCATATTTACAGACCCTTATGTAATCAGATCAAAGCTGTTATTTACCATTTAAGAAATTTGGCCATAGAATGAATCGTTCCTGAAAATTTACTATGTCAGTGAGAACTTTACTAAAAATAGCTTCTACAAGGCTGGGGGTGTAGCTCATTGACAGAGTGCTTACCTAGCATTCAGGAAGCCCTGGGTTCGGTCCCAAGCACTTAGTAAACCAGGTATGGTGGTGCAGGCCTGTAATTCCAGAACTTGGAAGGTAGAAGGAGGAGGATCAGAAGTTCAAGGACTTCCTCTACTACAAATCGAGGCCAGGCTAGCCTACAAGAGACCCTGTCTTTAAAAGAAAAAAGAAAAAAAAAAGCCACATAGTATACTTAGGGAACATATCAATAAAGACAGATAAAACCACATTACAGCTATCATTCAGATGAGGCTCATCACTTACAGGATAGTACCTGAATTCAGGACCTGAAACCAGTTCTTAGTTGATGGTCTTTGCAGAAGACCACACTAGATTGTGCCGAGGAAGTTTTAGTACCATCTGAGGTACATAGGAGTTCTTGTCTGTAGTCCCAGTACCTGGGTTTCACAGTTAGCTAGATGTTGATATAATGTTTAATCATCATAAAAGTTTGCTTTTTATGAAATAAGACTCTTGGACTCCTAAGATCTATGCTCTATAGGTTTATGACTGTTTGAATTGCTTAATACAGTTGGTGTGTTTCGTGACCATTTTTTACTTTTAACATAAACTGGTAAGCACTTTCAAAGTAATTTGTAGTTATGGTGTAAGATGTACTGGATTGGTGCCTCCTTATTGCTGGAGTACTTTCCTGGGTGTAGACCTTCGAATGCAACTAGAAGGTTTTGCTTTCTGTCCCAGACCAACTGCCAGCTGTGATGAATGTGATCTTCCGGTGATAGCTGGTAACACAAACAAACATGGTCACAGATTTTAATCTCAAACCAGAGCAGGTGAAATAGAGGGACTCTGTTTATGGAAATAAACTTCTTGATAAGCTACGTAATATAAAGCTTACTAAATTTTGGTGACATTTTTGTTTGTTTTGAGTCTAGGTCTCAACTGTGCAGCCACGATTGGTCTGGAATTCACCAATTTCCCCATCTGCCTCCTAGTGCTGGGATTAAAGCCACACCCAGGAACATTTCTTTTCGATCTGTTTATTTTATTATTTTGTGTGTATGAGTGTTTTCTCTCTGTGTAAGTTTGTACACCACGCGTGTGCCGGCTGAGGTCTGAAGAGGGCATCAGATCCCCTGGGACTGGAGTTAGAGACAGACAAGTATGAGCCTCCATGTGAGTGCTAGGAACTGAACCGGGGTCCTCTGCAAGACCAAACACTAGTGATCTTAACTACTGAGCCTTCTCCCTGGTCCCAACAGTTTTTTAAATTAGAAATAAAAAATTGAAAAGAAAGCAAACTTTTTGGAATTTGAGTGAAATTGTTTAATAAAAGTAAATGCTTTATACTATTTTTTTTAGAGGGGAGACAGAATTAGGGGTTTGAGACAGCAGTTTCTCTGTGTTGCTCTGGCTACCCTGGAACTTACTCTGTAGATCAGGGTGGCCTGAAATGCAGGGATCCTCCTTTCTCTGCCTCCCTAGTGCTTGGATTAAAGGAATGTGCTACCACACCCAGCTGCTTTACACAAGTGTAGTGCAAAACTTAACCTTAAAGAGATAAGCTAAAAGTCTTTCAGGAACTTAGATCCTCCTTCCCCTCCACTATCTGGGTAAAATCATCTTTATCCAGTAGAAGATAAAGTTGTATAATAAATGCTAACATTGCTTAAACTGGAATCGTAGGTCTGCCTGGAGACTGTAGGGTAGCACTGAGAACTGCCTTAGCCCTTGTTCAGCATCTCCCAGTAGGATGGGAAGACGGAAGGATGTGACACAGAGGCAGTGGGGTTTACATCCGCCATTTGGACACAGTGCTTATTCTCCAGCACGGCGTGATGCCTTCTGTGGAGCAGACACTTCCTGACTTCATGCTGAGTGAAGTGACTGGTCTAGGGAAGAAACCCTCTCCAGGTGTCCTTGGGCTTTGGGGACAGCTCTGCCTTCCGTCGCTGGGCTCAGTCCAGTATACACTGACGATGTATTGAATGAAAGAATGTGCATCCATGCGCTTTAGAGGCTGTCCTAATTGGTGTAGCGCTTGGTTAGGTTCATGTAAAATACGGATTTTAACTCATTGAATGTGTGGAGTTGACTTTAGTTAGTGGCCGAATCACTGTTTTTCATTTTAGATAAGAAGGGGTCTTGGAATTTTTTGACCATCATTTGGAGCTTACTTGGAAGGAAGCTTAAAATTACCTAGTTAGATTTACTTCCTGGTGCTCAAATAAACATGCCACCATTACAGCCGCAGCCAGTGTTGTTCCCCTTACTATCACATGGCAAACCCCACATTTTACACATCGGCTGTGTGATTCCTTGTGTCTGTTATTTGAGTCGTTATTCCCACCTTAATGCTGGGGCGAATGATCGATCGTAAACAGATTGCAGGTTGGGAGAGCAGGACGGGGACCCAGCTCTCTGCCCTGCCTCACTGGTTTCTGCCCCACTGTGTGTGGGCATCGCTAGGTTCTGCTCAGGTTTGTTTCAGTTTCTAACAACTGTTAGTTCTAGAAAGTCTTTTTTTAGAGCTATCGGCCCTCTTTGCTTCTTTCTCTTTTTCATTAAAAGTTTCTGTGAATCATACAGTAGGATGACTGGTTACCTCCAAATCTCCCCCTACTTAAAGTGGGCTTGGGTCACGGTTTTTGTGTACTTTTTAACCTCTTGCATTCAGTTGTATTATCGTGTAGATTTGTTTTATAGAATTTTAATTGTAAAAATTTTGTTTCTGCACCTGCATTTTCTGCCTTCACATATGAATATATTTATCTTTAAGATTTACTTAATTTTATGAGTATGAGTGTGTTGCCCACATGTGTGTCTGTGTGGCACATGCGTTCCTGATGCTCTTGGAGGACAGAAGAGAGCATTGGATACCATGGAACTGGAGTTATGGATGGTTGGGAGTCACCATGTAGGTGCTGGGAATTGAACCTGGGTCTTCTAATAAGAGTGACAAGTGCTCTTAATTGCTAGACCATCTCTCCAGGCCTTTTCATCAATATATTTCTAAAGGCTAGTAGATTAACCTTAGTGTAGTTAACTCTTAGGAGTAACATGAATGATGTCTTTGAACATCCATTGCTTTTATATTTAGGCATATCCTCCCTCAGTTTAGCTGTAGACATCCGTGACGCAGGTTTGAAATTTATTACCTTCTTGAAACACTTGATTTGGCTTCCAGGAGACACAGTGGCTTCTCCACTCCACAGGCCCCATCTCTTCCTAGGGAACTCTGTTGACATTTAGGTAGGGAAATAGGGAGGTAGTATGAGACTGCATGTAGCAGGATAGCATGGAGCGACAGGGTGTGTGACCTAGAGTCGATCTGTGAGGACAGATGGAAGTAAGGAGAGATGAATGTACTCAGTACTCTCTTGATAACTACTGCCGAGATAGAAATGTTTTAATAGTACTACAATTTGGCAGAATGTGGCTCACCCCTTTAGTCTCAGCACTCTGAAGGGAGAAGTAAGAATCTCTGTGAGTTCAAGGCCAGGCTGGTCTACAGAGCAAGTGCCAGAACAGCCAGGGCTGAATAGAGGGACCCTGTCTTTAAGAAAAAGAAAGAGAGAAAAGAATGAACATTTTAGTTCACTGAACAGCTTGTTAAGGTTGTCTTTTGTTTTCTCAGTAAACAGTATAGGAATGTGGGTTTTTTTTCCTAATAGAGAGTAGATTACAAAGTTTTATGTATACAGATTAAAATTTGAGACTAAAGTCAGAAAACTGCATTATTTATTTATTTTTTATTTTTAGAGACAAGGTTTCTCTGTGAAGCAGTCCTAGCTGTCCTGGAACTCACGCTATAGACCAGGCAGGCCTCGAGATCACAAAGATCCGCCTGCCACTGCCTCTACCTCCTGAGTGCTGGGATTAAAGGCATGCACCACCACCACCCGGCAGAAAACTGTCTTTTTTATACTTCTTTAAAATACACATATATACACACACACACACACACTAAAACAAAGAACAGGGTTTCTCTCTCTCTCTCTCTCTCTCTCTCTCTCTCTCTCTCTCTCTCTCTCTCTTTCTCTCTCTGTGTGTGTGTGTGTGTGTGTGTGTGTGTGTGTGTGTGTATCCCTGACTCACCTGGAACTCTCTGTGTAACCTAGGCTGGCCTTGAACTCAAAATCCTCCTGTTTCAGCCTTTGATTAGTGGTATATGTTGTGTCCACCTTTAAGTTGGATTTTAGTTTTGTAATGTTAAGCACCTCTAAGATTTTAATGTTTCCCTCTCCTACCCCAAGGTAACTCACTACATTAATAATTTCACTGCCCATCAATGTTGAAGGAACAGGTTACAGAGAGGTCTACATACTATGATACCATTTGAGTTAGAAAAACATAAAAGCCAAAATAGATGGCTGGCATATTAGTACTCAGTATTACGGACCATGTGTGAGCATAGACAGATGTGAAGGTTATATGATCCAGAATGCTTAGATGATCACCTGAGAAGAGGTGTGCCATTCAAGGTGTGTTTTTACTCTGTTTAAACTCTTACAATGAGCATGTGTTATTTTTAGTGTTTTGTTTGTTTGTTGTTTTGGTTTTTCGAGACAGGGTTTCTGTGTGTAGTTTTGGTGCCTGTCCTGGATCTTGCTCTGTAGACCAGACAGGTCTCAAACTCATAGAGATCTGCTGGGATTAAAGGCGTATGCCACCACCACCCTGCCTTTTTTTTTTTTTTTTTTTTTTTTTTAAAATGTTCATTGGTGTTTTGCCTGCATGTGTATCTGTGTGAAGGTGTCAGATTCCCTGGAACTGGAGTTACAGACAGTTGCGAACTGCCATGTGGGTGCTGGGAGCTGAATCTGGGTCCTCTGGAAGAGCAGTCAGTGCTCTTAACTGCAGAGCCATCTCTCCAGCCCCTAAACAAAATTTTTTAACGGAAGGGGAAAAAAATTATGATATAAAGATAGATACTTTTTTCCCAAATAAATTCACTGCTTCTTTTTCCCTTAGGTACATGGTGAACAATAAAAGATGTATTCTGACTACAAAACCATTGTTTCCCCAATAATTCAAGAAAAGAAAAAAATGCCAGTCAAACTATTGGTGTGATTTCTATACAACCTAATAAAGTTTGTTTCCTGTTTTTTGAGACAAGGTCTCACTATATATCCTGGCTGGCCTGGAATTCACAGAGACCTGCTTGCCTCTGCCTCCCAAGTGCTAGGATTAAAGACTTATTTAAGGTCACCAAACCGAGCAGATTTTCTAATAGAATTTTTTTTTTATTTTAGAAGATTTTTTTTTAATTAATGTATATTTAGTCTTTTGCTTGCGTGTATGTTTGTGCACCGAGTGTGTGCAGTGCCCATGGAGACCCGGAAAAAGGGCAGAGTCCCCTGGAACTGGAGTTAGTTACAAAGGGTTGTTAGCCGCCATGTAGGAACTGTGAATCGAACATGGGTCCTCTGTAGGAATGCTCTTGACTACTAAGCCATTCTCCAGGCCTAATAAATTTTTTTCTGTGGAAAGTTTCAAGCAAATAACAAAATGAGACTCTATGGCCCGGCTTCGGTAGTTAACACAGCCGGTTTTGTATTTTCTGTAGCTTTCATCCCCTCCTCGTTGGTTTTGAAGGTTCATCTGTAGATACATCAGTACCTTCATCTAAAGGATAAGGGTTCTTAGCCCGATGTGGTGGCTCACACATGTAATCCTGTGTTCAGGAGGCTGAAGTAGGGTTCTGAGTCTGAGGTTAGACTGGGCTACATAGAGAGAATTCCGGGCTCTCTCAACTATATGGCTGAACCCTGTTTCAAAAGCCCAAAGTAGAGGGCTAGAGAGATGGCTCAGCAGTTAAACACTTAGTGCCCTTGCAGATGACCCTGGTTGGCTTCCCAGCATTCACAGGTACTTCATCTATCTGACCTCCACAGGCTCCACAGGCATGTATGTAGTCCACATACATATACACATAAAATGATTTTTTTAAACCCCAAAGTAAATTTGGAAAAGGAAAGAAAACATTTTAGCACACTTTAAAAATGAGCAACAATTCCTTAATATCAAATCATTCAAAAGGCTGTTAATGCTTTGCACTCAAATTAGTGACTTTTAGTTTAAGTTGCTGCTTTATTTACTTTTGTTGTTTGTATTGGTATGTGTTTTCCCTGTAGGATGAAAAGTTTTTGTGTGTATATGTTCGTTTGTGTACAGAGGCTTGTGTGTTTGGTGCATGTGGAGACCAGAGGTCAGCCTTGGGCGGGCATTGTTCCTTGGCTGCTGTCTACTTTGTTTTGAGATTTGTTTTGGGATTTCACAAGTAGGCTAGCTGGCTGGCTCACCACAAGTCTCACGGGTGCAGACATGAGCACCCCATGTCCAGCTTTTTAAAGATAGGATTTCTGGGGGGTCCTCATGCTCCCTTACATGTCTGTTTGTATACAAGGTCTCACTGTGTAGCCTTGGCTGGCATGGAACTTACTGTGTAGACTAGGCTGGTCTGGAGTTCATAGGGATCTGCCTGCCTCTGCCTCGTTTTTAACTTTAAAAATATTAAGGTTTTTGCTTTTGGTGTCTTTTGTTCAATATGAGAAAACAATACATGGCTAGATATTTTCATCTTCAAACTTCAAAAGATTTAGGCATATTACTGGCTTTTGCTTCATTAGCATAGAAAACTGCTTTGATGCTGAAAGTGTCCTTTTTTTAAAAAAGTGTCTTTCTGGTACCTGACTGTCATATTTTTGTTTTCCATAGGTCTAATTAATAGAAGATGGCAAGGCCCAGTCACAGCAGCTATGTCCTCCAGCAGCTAAACAACCAAAGAGAGTGGGGTTTTCTCTGTGACTGCTGCATTGCTATCGACGACATCTACTTCCAAGCACACAAGGCAGTCTTGGCTGCCTGTAGCTCCTATTTTAGAATGTTTTTCATGAACCATCAGCACAGTACTGCACAACTGAATCTCAGCAACATGAAAATAAGCGCCGAGTGTTTTGATCTCATTCTGCAGTTCATGTATTTGGGAAAGATTATGACCGCTCCTTCCAGTTTCGAGCAGTTCAAAGTGGCAATGAACCACCTACAGCTGTACAATGTCCCTGACTGCTTAGAAGACATACAGGACGCAGACTGCTCTAGTTCCAAATGCTCGTCCTCGGCTTCCAGTAAGCAGAACAGCAAGATGATTTTTGGGGTAAGAATGTATGAAGACACCGTGGCTAGAAATGGCAGTGAAGCCAACAGGTGGTGTGCAGAGCCCAGTTCAACAGTGAACACACCACACAATAGAGAGCCTGATGAGGAACCGTTACAGTTAGCTCACTTTCCGGAGCCACTGTTTGATGTGTGTAAAAAAAGTTCCGTGTCCAAATTATCGACTCCCAAAGAACGTGTGTCTCGACGCTTTGGACGGAGTTTTACCTGTGATAGCTGTGGCTTTGGCTTCAGCTGTGAAAAATTACTAGATGAACATGTGCTGACCTGCACTAACAGACATTCATACCAAAACACAACAAGAGCTTACCACCGAATAGTGGATATTAGAGATGGAAAAGATAGTAACATCAAAGCTGAACTTGGTGAAAAGGATTCTTCTAAAACATTTTCTGCGCAGACAGACAAATACAGAGAAGACGCCAGCCAGGCGCCTGATGATTCAGCTTCGACCACTGGAAGCAGAAAGGGCACAGCGGAGCCTGGACTGGCTGGGGAAGAAAAGGGTAGAGCTGCTGAGACGAAAAGAATTATCATCAAGATGGAACCAGAAGATATTCCTACGGATGAAATGAAAGACTTCAACATTATTAAAGTTGCTGATAAGGACTGCAATGAGTCCACTGACAATGACGAGTTAGAAGATGAACCGGAAGAGCCATTTTATAGATACTATGTTGAGGAAGATGTCGGCATTAAAAAGAGTGGTAGGAAAACCCTGAAACCTCGGATGTCCATGAGTGTGGATGAAAGAAGTGGTATAGAGAGCGTGAGACCCCCTAACAACAGCAGTCCGGTACAGGAGGATGCAGAAAATGCATCCTGTGAGCTGTGCGGACTCACCATAACTGAGGAGGACCTGTCATCTCATTACTTAGCCAAACACATCGAAAATATCTGCGCGTGTGGGAAATGTGGACAAATACTCGTCAAGGGCAGACAGCTTCAGGAACACGCTCAGAGATGTGGAGAACCTCAGGATCTGACGATGAATGGGCTAGGAAATGCTGACGAGAAGATGGACATGGAAGAGAACCCTGATGAGCAGTCTGAGATAAGAGACATGTTTGTTGAAATGCTAGATGATTTCAGGGACAATCATTACCAAATAAACAGTCTCCAGAAAAAGCAGTTATTTAAACATTCCGCTTGTCCTTTTCGGTGTCCCAATTGTGGCCAGCGTTTTGAAACTGAAAATTTAGTGGTCGAACATATGTCTAGCTGCCTAGACCAGGATATGTTTAAGAGTGCCATCATGGAAGAAAATGAGAGAGATCACAGACGGAAACACTTCTGTAATCTCTGTGGGAAAGGATTTTATCAGCGGTGTCATTTGAGAGAACACTATACTGTTCATACTAAGGAAAAGCAGTTTGTTTGTCAGACATGTGGGAAGCAGTTCCTAAGGGAGCGGCAGTTGCGTCTGCACAATGATATGCACAAAGGCATGGCCAGGTATGTCTGTTCCATTTGTGATCAAGGAAACTTCCGAAAACATGACCATGTACGGCATATGATTTCTCATCTCTCTGCTGGTGAGACGATATGCCAGGTCTGCTTTCAGATATTCCCCAATAATGAACAGTTGGAGCAGCATATGGATGTTCATCTGTATACGTGTGGAATATGTGGAGCAAAGTTTAATTTGAGGAAAGATATGAGATCACATTATAATGCCAAGCATTTGAAAAGAACCTGAGGGCCTTTCTGCGGTATGAATGTTTAGTTGATAGGCAGAACACCAAAGCAAAAGGATATGAGCTATTTAGACACTGATTTTATAAGAAGTGTTGGGAAAATTTTTCCAAGGCCCTTTACTTTAACATTTTTGTTTAGGACCTTACGTATATTTTAGGCATTAAATGTTTATCACTTTTGATGTTTCTAAGAGCATCCTTTGTTCCTAGTTTTCTTAACTACCATTAAAAGTACTTTTCAATGTAGACTCAGTGCTGGCATCCCTTCAATGACTATTAACTAGTTGGTTTTTTTTTTAATCAATAAGGTAATGATTTCACTATTTCTCTGTACTTTCTTCATTTTAAGGTTATCCTATGAAATTTTAAACCCAGGATCATTGACCATTCCTGCTTAAATTTTTTAAGAATTTTTAAATAATTATTTAAAACTATCTTATTCTTTTTTGGTTTTGCTTTTTGGGGTTTTTTTGTTTTATTTTTTTTGCTGTTTGTCAGTTGTATAGTGGGGTAGCTGCTGTTCATTCTCCCTTATCAATGAAATCCATATTCTTAAATTGACAAACTTAGGCAAGTGAGGTACACTGAATCTAACCTTTAAGGTGGACATGGGCTCAATCTTGGCCTAAGATTGATGGACCTAAGGAAATTCCTATAAATGAACATTTCCTATAATTGATAAAATGTTATCATTTAATAATCACATTTAAAACTTATATTAAGTGTAAATCCCAATGACTTTCCCTCACTTGAGAAATTAGTGGGGATAAGCCATTTTGTTTTGTGATACTGAATTTAACTATGATAGTTAATTAAAAAGACATCTTGTATTCATTAAAATATTTTAATTTAAAAATATTCTGATTTCTAAAGTGTGTTAGTTTATCAATTATTTTGTTTATAAATAGACTTTAATAGCTCTTTAGGAATATGACATCTAAGGAAAAATGATTTTTCATTTTTAAAATTACTTTGGAACTGAGATTTGAAAAAGCTGCCATGTATATTGATAAATCTAATAAAATAAAGAAATCGATTATAAATCTGGTTGTTCTATAAAAGTAGAGTGCACAAAAGTGTGTTGTGTTTTACACTAAGATTTGGAGGAAGTGTGTTGTGGAAAATTGCTATGCTTTATATATCATTTTCTGTAAAAGATACAAGATTTGAGGACTATAAAATAATCACAGCATATAAATGGAAAGAGCTTCTACTTGTCAGGGAAAGTCATATTGTTAGTTGTTGACAGGGTCTATACTATATCAGTTACATGTGAACTAAAACACTGGCAAAACACCCACCAATAAACACATCTGCCGAATAGAATGCCTTTTAATGTGAATTACTTGGAACAGCCTTCTTATATTGAAAGGGATTTTAGTTAACATATTTAAGAGTATGGCTTTGATTATGGATGGTAGTTTTAAAAGCATTGCTCTTTCTTGCTCTTGATATTTTTAAGATATGCAAATCATATTCTCACATGCTATTTACATAATGTCACAGGTTGCCATGAGACCTGAGAGACGTGTTGGCTAGTACAGGGTTAGTGGAAAGTACTGGATAGAGCACAGTGTGAACACAGCTCGATGGGCATGTGCTGGAATGTTAGTGAGGACAAGCAGTGCGGGCAGGAGCCAAGACAGTTAAAACCCGATCCTGAGAAAAGGCACAACAACAAGAGTGAGATCTGGGGAAGTTTTTCAAGTTGTTAACAGAAAAAGCTGAGAAAGTCATTCATTTTAAAATGTCTTAGATATAATAGTTTAACACGTACTTAAAACTGAAAAGAAAATATAAGATGTGTATGTAGCTTACTGGTAAGCACCTGAGAAATGTTCTCTAACAAAGCCAGACGTCGAAGAGTAGTGGAAAGAAAGAGAAGACAAAAATCAAACGAAATGCTCAAGTTATACCATATCTGAGGGGACCCCATTTTTTTTGAGGGGTCACTTTTCCCCGTCAGAGTTTCTGTTGCAAAGGCTTTCCCATAGTTAAAGGCATTTTTTAAATATTTTCCCTCTTTGAAGAAGGAATCCTCTTTTTACGAGGAAGAGAGGTTTGATTTAGTGGGTTTAGTGTGTGCTAATAACAAATTAGCAAGCAAACGTAATCTGACTTTACCCAACTGTGACAGTTTGAAAAAGGCATGTTTGATGGTGTTTTCTGTTTCATACTACATAGTATGCGTGGTTTGGGGGAATTTAGCTATGGGTAGCACAGGTTTCTCCAAGTAGAATGTACAGTTAATTGTATTTAACAAGACAGGGTTCAGGTGAAAGTTCCTTAGCTTGGGCTGGAGAGATGGCTCAGAGGTTAAGAGCACTGGCTACTCTTCCAGAGGTCCTGAGTTCTATTCCCAGCAACCACATGGCGGCTCACAATAATGAGATCTGATGCCCTCTTCTGACATGCAGACAGAACACTGTATACATAATAAATAAATAAATCCTAGAGGAAAAATAAAGAAAAAAAAGACAAAAAAGTTACTTAGCTTGTAAAATTAAAGGGGATGAAAAACATCCACCACTCCTCTGCCTCCGCTCCCTCTCGCCCTTCCTTGGGCTGTGAGGACAATGGCTCAGGCCGGAATATTTGCCTGCTGCTTCTGTCTTTGAAAGTTCACACATTTAGGATCGAGGTTTTTTCCAGATCTGGAGAGGAAAAGAGAAACCAGAGGAGTAGCATCTTTTCCCACTATTAATGACACTTTTCATTTGAAGTCCCATTTCTGGGATTTCTTGAAAAACAATAGTCCAATTGGATTTTTCTCTCTGGCACTCCAGATCAAACCCAGAGCCTCAACGTGCTAGGCAGCCATTATTTCCCTGAACTGTGTATTAAGTTTCCCTTTTATCAGAGAGAAAATCATGGAGAAAATCATCCATTTCTAACATGGTTGATGCTCCAACATGGATCTATAATTTGTCATAAAGACTGGACCTCAGAACTTAATAAAGTAGAACCAAGGCAGCAAAAGTCTAGCACTCAACTGGTTTTAACCCCTCTTCCCTTCACTTTTCTTTCTCCCTTGTAGCCCAGGCTGGCCTGTCATTCACTGCCTAACCCAGGCTTGCCTCATGATCATGCTGATCCTGTTTCAGCCTCCCAGGTTCAAGAGTTACCAGATGGGAGCTGAAGCGATCAGCTTCTCGTGTCCCTTCAGGTTCTTTCGTTTTTTGAGTCAGGGGCTTGCTCTGTAGCCCAGGAAAGGTTGGACTGGAAGTCACCATTCCACTACTGCTCTTAGGGAGTGTTGGGATCATTACATAATGCTCCACCATATCCAGCTAATTTCCCATTTTTTTTTTTTTTTTTTTTTTTTTGGTTTTTCGAGACAGGGTTTCTCTGTGTAGCTTTGCGCCTTTCCTGGAACTCACTTGGTAGCCCAGGCTGGCCTCGAACTCACAGAGATCCGCCTGGCTCTGCCTCCCGAGTGCTGGGATTAAAGGCGTGCGCCACCACCGCCCGGCATAATTTCCCATATTTTTTAAAGTGAAATTTTTCAGAGAAATGACCCCACATGGGTAACAGCAAATGTGTAATTAATATAAAGTAATGAACAATTTGACTTTAAGCAAAATAGTAGGTCAGAAGGATTCCAGAGGGTACTCTTAAAAGAATTAAGCTGAGTATGATAGTTTATGCCTGTAATCCCAGCATGCAAGAGGCTAGGCTAGGTTCAAGGCTACCCCTTGAGTTCAGGGCTACCCTGGTCTTTACATAATAAGACCCCGTCTCAGAAAAAGGAAAAATACTGTTGAGGACAGCTTGCTAAGACAGAGCAGCAGTGGGCTTGAAATCCATGTTCCAGCTTGAAGCAAAAATATGATGTAAAATTGTTGGAAGAGGAGGTGCAGGATTTCAAGTCTTGATGAGGCTAACCCAGCTGTACCTGTGAAATACCCAATGGGAGAGTGGTTCTAAGCATGGCAGGCATGTGCCCCCAGAGAGCCAGTGGTGGTGGTTGGCGGTAACTTTCCCACTGGTTAAGCAATGTTCCTTTAGATCACTAATAAAGTTCTCTATTTACTAAAGCTCTGAAAAGTCTTCCTACGAGCCGGTGTAATGTTGAAGAGAAAAACTGTTATTGTTAACAAAAATGGGTAAATCAGGACGAAAAGAAAAGGACTTGAATATGTACATACAGCTGAAAAGCTCAAAATTTGACATACCTAATTTGAACTGGGTTTATCATTAACTTAAGGGCTGGATATGATGGCACATACTTGTAAAGCCAGCATTCGGGAGGCTGAACCAGGACAGCAAGAATTCAAGGCCAGCCTGGACTACATGATACCATGTAACAAGTTGTTTTAAAAAAAAAAAAAAGCCCCCCCCCCCCCCCATTGATCTGTTTTGATCAGTTCCTCAACTTTGCTCACCGTCTTTTCCTACCTAAGTGCTTCCCAGTGGTAAAATGCCAGTCCTCTACCATTAACCAGGATTGCAGAGTAGCCAGCCGAAGGTGAGGGGAGCATGTTTTCTTTCTTTCTTTTTGTTTTTCCCCAGTTTTTTGAGACAGGGTTTCTCTGTGTAGTTTTGGTGCCTGTCCTGGATCTCGCTCTGTAGACTAGGTTAGCCTGGAACTCACAGAGATCCACCTGGCTCTGCCTCCCGAGTGCTGGGACTAAAGGTGTGCGCCACCACCGCCCTGCAGGAGCATATTTTCATAAAATCCTGTCCTCGGTGCTTGATAGCTCAGCTCAGTAAACTTGGTGTGATGGTATGGCCGCTACGACACTAACACAAGTGAAGCCATCCTTCGTGTTAATTTGAATAATTTGAAGTTTACATCCCAGCTCAGGAAACCCATAGTCTGCCCAAAGTAGGGCTCCCTACAGTCTGAACATCCATTTCTTCAGCACTCTATATGCGGATGTTTTGCCCACTTAACTTTAATTTGCCCTCCTCCTCTTTGAGGTAAGTATACTAATTTTCCAGGGGACCAAGGTCCTAAGCCACACAGAAACTATATGTTAGACCTGGAATTTGAACTCAGTCTTTGACGTAGGCTACATTCTTGTACTTACTCATGAAGACACGAGTTCCATCTACAAAGAAGTGCCTTTTCAGCTTAGGATACACATGATAAAGGTCGTGTGAGGCGGTGCTCCTTCGTCATCCGTCATCTGTGACGCCTGGTAAGGTGACTGGTAATAGTGGGTACATAGGGAACAACCTGCGGTAAGACCTGCAAGTAGAAAGCACAACTGGATTTAAATGTGTCATTCAGAATGCTGTTTTAGACTGGAAATGCTGAGGAATGTTTTGACTATGCTTCATTTAAACTTAAAACATTCGGTGGGATAGTTAGTTAGTTGAGGGCCCAATAATCATTTGAAAGTTAGTTTGAATTCAGACTGCATGTCTGTGCTGAGGCTTCCTCTCCATCTGTTCCTGCTCTTTGTGTTTCATTTACTCCACCAACCTCTGTTCCCCTGTTTTAGTCCTGGAACTAGTGAGTTGTTGAAGAAGTCAGAGTACTTGAGCAAATCTCCCCGAGCGGGGGGTGGGGGTGGGGGGGGATAATAACCAGTTTCCTCTTGTTTGCATGAATAGATGTGGATAGGAAACTCAGGATTCCTTTGGCTAGCAAACATTCCCCTCTCCCAATGGTATAGTGTGGTTGCTTTAATAAAGGAATCCGCTTAAAACCAAAAGTTGGTTATTCTAACAGTGTATAACTCCACTGATGAAAATATCTAGGTTTCTAGGTGAGCTCTTCAACGGCGGTCTTACAGAAGTGAAAGGTGACCCCGGGAGGTCGCAGCTTCATAACCCCCCCAGTGTGGCAGCACTCAACACAGAAAGTTAACTAGTGCTTTAAGGAGAGCAAGATTCAGACCTTTGAGCTCCTAGTTAATGTCTCTACAACAGATCCTATGCTAAAGCTACCACTTTGGTAATTTGCCTACCATATGTCAATGACATTTTGAAATAAAGGAATGAAATGGAGAATGTTCTGTGACTGGAAACAATGTAGACATTTAAATGGCCTGCTCTTACCTGGCTCGCTCTCTAACTCTAGGACACATTACTTGGTAATGGGTATAGTCTCAAAAAACATGAAACTTAGCTCTTTATATGTTTATATTCTGGCAAAGGCAAAAAGTTAGCATTGAGATTAAATCTTTAACTTCCTTATGATAGTCAAGAGAACCAAATCACTGAGGCAAATTAGTAATGAGAGATTTTCTTTGTATCAAAGCCCACACAGATCGATGGAGGGCAGAAGGGCATTAAAACTGAAAGGTGATATGAAGAATACAGTTCAATCTTGGTTTCATTTTAATGTGTCTGTGCTAATCACTGAGCTAAGTAGAAAATCATAGGAAAGGCTAGCACCCGAGGAAGATGATAAAAGACATTTCGGAGCCAAGAATAAAAATTTGCATTAAAAAAAGCTGGTCATGGTAGCATGTGCCTTTAATCCCAGCACTCATCCCAGCACTCCGGGAGACAGAGGCAGGCGGACCTGAGTTCAAGGACAGCCTAGTCTACAGAGCAAGTTCCAGGACAGCCAGGGCTGCACAAATAAACCATCTCAGAAAACCAACCAAACAAACAAACAAGAAAATTGCATAGTAGTCTGTAATGACCCATTTGAAAAAGGACTAGAGTTAAACTTACAGCCTTTAAGCCATACTTAAAACATTGCTTTTACTCTGCTTAAGCCAATAGTGCTACCTGCGTATGCACTCTATCAAGTGAATAGACAGGGTTTGGTTTGGTTGTGTTCTGAAGATGGGGTCATGTAGCCCAGTCTGGCCTTGAACAGGGTGATCCTCCTGCCTCTACCTCCCAAGTGCCATATCACAGGCATGTATCACCATGCACAGCTACAGGGCTGTTTCTGATTAAACAAATAAATCTAAGCACCCACATTATGAAAATCACCTTTTCCTTCAAATGCTTATGTTCCCTAATGTGAGAAAAATATTTTAAGGGACTTTTTTTTTTAAAGGATATGAGTATTAGAGCAAAACATTCTTGCAAAAATACCACTTTGCCCAATGTCAGGGGATGGGTGAAGAGAATTTCAAACCCAGGACTATTCCCGGCCATATTTGTACTTGGTTTTTCATTTGCAAAGTACACGCCTGATATCTGAAGAAAGTAGTTCGTGTGATGGTTGAAGACTGAAAAAATGAACTTTCAAATTCATCGCATCTGTATTTCAGTCAGATATTTGTCATTAGCAAACACATTGTGAAACTAGCTCGTTTGAAAGGAAGCACCTCTTGCTCAGCTCCCCTGCTTCTGAAACCCCATCTTGTCTTTTGTTACATACTTACGTAAGCAGCCATGCTTGCTTAGACCATACAAAAGCAAAACTAGAGAGGTGCCCTGTATCCAAAGACTTAGACCAGGAATAACAGTTTATAAGTAAGTTCTGGGAGCTACTCTCTTGTTCCTACTCTGTTCCTTCAACAGTGTGCCTTTGCCAAAGCTAAAATATTCTGACCTAAGCATGATGTTGTCTTGTAGAGCGGTTTGCCTTGTGCTGTTATTTTTCTTGAGTTTTGTCTTTTTCTGTGTGGCAGTGGTGAAATAGGGCCCTCCCAGCCTCTGGAGAAGTGACATGTGGCTCTGGAGAGGACATGGGGAAGAATCATTCTTCAGCAGATAACCTTTAAGTGCAGACCCAGGAAATCAGATCTGACGAGGCACCATCTCTTTCTGTCTTCCTGCCACACGCCATCAGCCCCCAAGTTCCAGTTGCAGAGATCCAAGAGAACTCAGTAATGATCACTTTGGAATCACATTGTTGTAACAAAGCTGATTCACAGTGACTCTCCTAGTACTTATGGAAAACCTGCTCAAGAAAAGTGACTGTAAAAGTCATGTGATACCAATGATTAAGCTACAGTAAAATGAAAGTTTACGCCATGTATCTCCACGGTGCCCTTCTAGGATGAAGGGCTTGCTAGGCTACTGTAAATGCATTATAAAGGGAGATACATAGTTCCACAAACACATCATTCTAAACTTAACCAGAATTGTAGCTTATATACTATGAGATGTAGTTAAACAATTTAAAAGAATATTAAAAAATATCTGTAGAGTGTAAGTAAAAAGAAATGGGTACAGAAAAGAAAACCCAAGACCAGTTCTTTAACAAGATAATGTAGCTATTATGGAAGTGGAACACTAATCTTCCTTTCTCACTATGTACCAGTCACACACTTGCTTATGAATACCAGTGAAGCTTCTTTCTAAAAGTCTCCTGACAGAGGAGCATTATTCAGTAGTGATAGATTTCCACAAACTGTACATTATTTTCTTCTTCTGAACTTATCGATATGGTCTCATAGTGTAGAATAAGTTTTTGTTAATCTCAGAACTATTGTATAGTGTCCTGCTCAGCTTCAAGTTTCAAAACAAAATTAAGTATTAAATGAAATGGTAATATGTTTATTAAAAAAACCTTTCTTGAGGTGAGATTTAGTGAGATTTGAGCCAGGCTATGACTATAAATGCTTTGCTACACATACACTCTTTAACCATTTGAATCTTATAACCATATTATTTCCTTATTGTGGATATACTTTTTATTTTTACTTTTTGTTAACTATGTGACTAATTCCTTATTGCTTCTTGTTTGTGTGTGTGTGTGATTTCAAATGTTTAAATGCTTACTTTGTTTTTATGCAAAATTCTTCAAGTATTTTAATAAGTTACACAAAGAAATCTGTCCAAAGAAATGGAAAGTGTGGGTAGTGCACACCTTTAATCACAGTACTTGAGAGGCAGAGGCAGGCTGATCTCTGAGTTTATGGCTATCCTAGTCTACATAATGAGTTCCAGGCTAGCCAAGGCTATATAATGAGACCTTGTCTAAAAAAAATATTTTAATTAAAAAAAGAAGCCAGGCGGTGGTGGCGCACGCCTTTAATCCCAGCACTCGGGAGGCAGAGCCAGTATATCTCTGAGTTCGAGGCCAGCCTGATCTACAGAGCGAGATCCAGGACAGGCACCAAAACTACACAAAGAAACCCTGTCTCGAAAAACCAAAAAAAAGAAAGAAAGAAAGAAAATCCTAACTTTAAGGTAGTAATAACTTGAATCTCATTCTGGAAACTAATTGGCCGAAAAATCAGAGAAAGTCCACCAGAAGGGATAATGGGGATAGAGAAGGAAAGAGCAAAGGAGAGTCCACCCAAGTTCAGCTTTGGAGCTGATGTGTGAACTCCACCTGAGTGGACAGAACACTATCCTAGCACTTGAAGGGGAGGTGGGAGGATCAAGAAAAGGTCAAGGCCAGCCTTGGCTACAGAGTGAATTCAAAGCCAGCCTGGGCTACATGAGACCCATCTCGAACAAACAGACAAAAGCATTCCAAGTATATGACCGCTGCAAGATAAAGAGTCTAGACCAGTGTTGGACTTTACAGACCACTGAGTTAATCTCTTTGGGGAACGTAAGCATATAGGCTGCAGGCTTCTTACAATACATAGAAAATTTTAAAAATCCCCATAACGAAAGGAACCAGAGCAGGATAGAAAAGATTCAAACAATTTTTGACTAAGTTTTTATTGCGCTAGATTTACTAAAGAAAATGGTTTGAATTTTGACTGAACTAACTACACGTGTAATGAAATATGATAATTACAAGTGGCATAAGTACATACTATAATGTGATTATTTTCTGTACATTACTTTAAGTGGAATTCTTGGATTACATACAGTATTTTTGTTACATTCTGATATCCATTGCTTTTACCTAATAAAATGTCCTCCTCTACATTCAGAAGTTAAACTGTCTGTACATTACTTTCATTTGTATTGGATTGTTTTACAATGTAATTGTATTGCAGCCTGTTCTTTTTAAAACGTAACTAGTTGGTCATCAATTCCTACCCTCTAGTGTCACAATGTCACCAGAGGTGGTCATGTGTGGCCCAAAGAGAACTAACTCAAATTTTACTGCTGAATCCTGTTTTTTGTTTATCTGGTTTTGATACAGGAGAATGATAAGAAAATACTGTTTCAAGGCGCACATGAAAACAAATTAATTAAGTTTATTCCTGACACAAAAGAATTACTTATTTAAAAAAAATCTGATAGGAGAATCAGCTTTCTCACGGACTTCCTTACTCAAAAATAGCAAACATAATTTACTATTCAAAGAAATGACTTAGCTAATATAATTCGCTTTGCTTATTTTCAGGTAAGGAATTTTTTATGTGTTGACAATAATGAAATATTTGGTCTGCCTGTCCCCTCGACAGGGCAGCCTCGCTTTGCCGCATTGTTTCAAACTGTTCCCCAAGGAACATGATTTGGGGTAGCACTCAAGGTGAAGAAGGCAGATTGCCCCCAGCTTCCAGCCATCTCTCTCTCGGAAAGCATCCCTTCTAGGGCCAGGTGCTTAGGCTTAGCTGTCCCCAAGGGCATGGCAGTCTCCCTGTCATCTTACTATGTATCTTCAATTTAGTTGAACTTAAGACTACGTTTTGTTTTGTTGTTTTTTGAGACAGGGTCTCAACTCTAGCCCAGGCTGCCCTAAACTGGTGGTGATCTTCCTGCCTCTGCCTTCAGAGTTCAGGAATTACAGGTTTAAATCACCATACCAAATGACAAATTTTTAAGACTCGAAGAAAACAAGTGATTTTTTCCCCCTATAGGGACAGAGAATTGGAGAGTTACTTTAAGACCATGCACTTTAGGGCTGACGAGGTAGCTCACCAGGTTAAGGCACTTGCCGCCAAACCTGAAGGCCTGAGTTTGATCCCCCAGAACCGTGTGAACACTCACTCTCTCAAGTTGTCCTCTGACCTCCATGTGCACTAGGACACGTGTGCATGTGTGCTCACACAAGTATGTCTTAGGAAAGCAGAAACAGGACACTAGAGATGGGGATCAAGGCTAGCCAGTGTCTGTGGCAAGACCCTGTCACAAAACAGGGTAAAATGCGTACTGGCGCACACCTTTGATGCCAGCACCAGGGAAGCAGAAGCAGGCCAATCTCTGTGAGTTCAAGGCTAGCCTGATCTACAAAGGGAGTTCCAGGAAAGCCAGGGCTGTTACACAGAGAAACCTCGTTTTGAAAAACAAAAACAAAAAAGGAAAATAATTACAAAATGGCACTGTTTATAGAGATCTTAAATATATATATTAATATATATATAGTATATATTAATATATATATTTATATATATATATATAAAATCATTAGTTGAACTCCAGTCTGCTCACGCATCTTCAAATTAGAAGCTGTTACTTATTCTGCTTTCTCTTCAAGCCTCCTCAAAACAATCCCAGCCCTCATGAAGGCTGCCCCTGGGTGGGATTAAGAGGACAGGCTAGCCTTGCCCTGGACTATCAGCTAACATTCGCACACATCATCTTGGGCCTCATATTAGCTCTGGATCGCTAGTGCAGATATTTTCGCATGTTAATCTGTAGTCTCTGCAATGTCATTTAATACAGAAATGTGTAAGAGGATTTTCTTCTTACACAGGAGAAAGATTAATTTGTTTGCGGATTGAAATATTGTGCTTTGGGTAACTTGTAATAAACAATGAATGGGCTGGGAACATGGCCTAGAGGTAAGGTGCATTATAGGCTTTGTGTACATGAAACCTTGTGTTTAATCCCCAACACCAAGCCAAAAACCAAAACCCACCAGGCTAAGAATTACTCCTGTGTTCCAGATACTCTTCTGGGTACCAGGCATTAATTGAAGAGTGTTTACAGTATGTTAAAGCTCTTGATTCTTTAACCAATCTATGAAAATTTAGTCTTTGGATTAAAAAATATTTTGGAAACTGTCTAGTATGTATGATCTATCTGGTAAAGAGATTTTACCTGTTGGAAATCAGTACGGATTTATATGTAAGTAATGGGACTGGCGGTGAACTTTGTTTCAGTTTAAGGTTAACTGCTATATTAAAAATCAATTGGAGGGGTTGGCGAGGTAGCGCGGTTGTCAGAGTTCTTGCCTAGCGTGCATGAAGCCCTGAGTTTGATCCTTACATGAATGTGCTTATAATGTTAGCACTTGGGGCTGGAGAGATGGCTCAGAGGTTAAGAGCACCAACTGCTCTTCCAGAGGTCCTGAGTTCAATTCCCAGCAACCACATGGTGGCTCACAACCATCTGTAATGAGATCTGGTGCCCTCTTCTGGCCTGCAGAGATACGTGCAGACAGAATACTGTATACATAATAAATAAATCTTTAAAAAAAAAAATGTTAGCACTTGGAGGGTAAGGCAAGAAAATCAGGAGTTTTGAGGTCATGTTTGACCACATAGTGAGTTTGAGGTCTGCCTGGGCTACATAAGACCCTGTCTCAAAAAAAAAAAAAATCACTGTAAAACTCTAATAAAACAATCACTGATAACCGTGCCATCTAAATTCTGGTGTTGTTTTCATATACATAGAATTATTCTACTAATAAAATAAGATACAGAAGCTGGTAGGATAGCTCATTGTTTAAGAACAGTTGCTGCAGAAGTTGGAGAGATGGCTCAGCAGTTAAGAACACTGGCTGCTCTTCCAGAGGACCCCAGTTCAATTCCCAGCACCCACATGACAGCTCACAACTGTCTGTACCTCCTGTTCCAGGAGATCCAACACCCTCACACAGACGTAATTTCAGGCAAAACACCAATGTACGTAAAATAAAAACAAATACATTATATATATTTAAAAAAGAACAGTTGCTGCATAATCAAGAGTACCAGAGTTCAGATCCCAGCATGAATATAACAGGATGGGTGCACCCCACACACCTGTAACTCCAGCTCTGAGTGGGTGTCAGAAAGGGGCAATGGCTGGGGCTTGCTGGCTTCCAGCCTACACAAACAACCGAAAGCCTCAGGTTCAGCAAGAGAGCCTGTCTCAAAGGACTAGGAGGAGATGCTAGAGAAAGACAGTTTGCACTGTCTTCTGGACTTGTGCAAGCGAATGGGTATGCATTCAGGTGCATGTATGTTGCTGGCATACGCACACACAAACAATAAAACAATAAAAGCATACAGAAGTTGACTATCTCCTTTTTCAATTCATTATATCAAGGGTGATTTTGTGTGTCATTAAAAATCTTGTAAACGGGCCTGGAGAGATAATTTAGCAGTTATGAGCACCTGCAGACTTTCTCCAATTCCAGAGAATCTGAGTTCAGTTCCCAGCATCTACCTCCAGTGGCTCAGGACTACCTGTAACCCCAGCTCCATGTGATCCAGTGCCCTCTTTGACCTCTGTGGGTACTGGCATACACATGCCACAGAATCACAGACACACATTAAGAAACATCTTAAAAAAATAAAAGGGGGGTGGGAGCTGGAGAGATGGCTCAGAGGTTATGAACACTGGCTGCTCTTCCAAAGGTCCTGAGTTCAATTCCCAGCAACCACATGGTGGCTCATAACCATCTGTAATGAGATCTGGTCCCTCTTCTGGCATGCAGGCAAACATGCAGACAGAACACTATATACATAATAAATAAATATTAAAATAAAAATAAAAAGGGATGTGATGGTAAATGTGTATGTTTCCAAATGTTAATGCTAGTGTAGCATTATTTTTTAAAATCTTGTGAATAGTTGAGCATGGCGACACACACCTTTAATCTCAGCACTCGGGAGGCAGAGGCAGGCAGATCTCTGTGAGTTCAAGGCTGGCCTGGTCTACATAGTTGAGTTCTGGGATAGCCAGGGCTATGAGAAAAGACCCTGTCTCAAACAAACAAACAAAACTGTAAATACTTTTGTAACTACATAATTCATCATGTGCATATATGTAATTGATTTTTTTGTGTTCAATATTTAAACCATTTTCGATTCATTGTTGCCACCATAAATAATAGCCCAGGTGTTTTCTATTATCTCCTTAGGATGAACCCACACAAATTAATATTAGATCAAGGATATGGTCTCTTCCAGGTGAAAACAAATGATGCCACGTAGTCCTCCAGAAAAGCTGCGGCAGTGAGCAGTCTTGGGACGGCTTGCCTATTTTGCTACACCACTGATAACACGGCTATTACCTGGTCCAAAACTTGATGATTTAATCACGTTTAATGGACTGCGATTTTAATTATTTATTTACTTTGGGTTTACTATTTCAATCTATAGCTCATGCTGGCCTGCAACTATGTAATAATAATCCTCCTGCCTCTTCGTCCTGAGATTATAGGTGTGTGCCGCCACACCCACTTAAACTGTGTTTTTAATGAATTCTGAGGTCTAATTGTCAAAAAAGGAAAAAAAAAACCCACCTGTTTTAAAATGTAATACAAACAAGGGAAATGTAAAAGATATCCACAAAATGAATGTCTGCTAATGTTCTGAAGAAGTGTCACATAAAATAAAAATGTTATTATTGTATCTTTGTGGGAAAGATCAAGATACGATGAAACATGTAAACATCAACTTATCAGAAAAAAAGTAAAAGCAGAAAAACACAGCTAATAAAAATGCAAGATAACTGCTGTTGTCATTTCAGAAGACTGTTAAAGATGAATGTGGTGAGAAACTGCAAGACTGGTCTGCAGTGACTGCATCCATAGGACACAGTTACTTCCCAAAAGAACCTGTCCCTTTGGGAGAGGTTCGGGCCTGCTGGCTGGGAGTCTTGTTTTGCTTAAGATGTGTGGAGAGACGGAAATGTGTCATGTGTGATGCCCTCGGAGGCCAGGAGAGGGTGTTAGTTAGAACTGGAGATTCAGATGGTCCTTAGCCCCCATGTGGATGCCGGCCACCGAACCTAAGCCCTCTACAAGAGCAAGTCCTTTTAACT